AGGGGAGCGGGGCGGGATGGGGGCGTTTCGGCCTCCCCGGCGGCTGGCCGGAGCAGGAAGGAGCTGGGTGCGTTTCTGCCTTTGTAAAAGTAGTACCTGCAGCCTGAAGGTGCGATTCGGAGTGTTTTCACTCAGGGTTTTAAAGGATCGCGCACGTAGCTAATTATATGTGTCGTTAGACATAGATACGGGAGTGTTAATATAAAGAGCCTGCCTGGAGAAGAACAACAGCAAAGGTAATGGTTTATTACCTGACAGCAGAATAATTATTCTGAGGAAGGAGATTGTTGCTTTTTCAAAAGGTGTTTTGGGAGTTCTCAGGTGAGGAGCTGAAAGTTGATTTTTGATTATTTAATCGATTGCAAAGGTGAACTTAAAGCGTTTTCTCCCCTGTCATCTCTTCACAGTGACTATCGTCGACTCATAAATGTGGGACTATTCCTGTGGAGTGAAGAGATTTTTTTATAGCATAGGTTAAAATTAAAAATATTTTAGTAAGAAGGATCTTTTTTAAGCTGCGTATTGTTCGCATAAATAAAAAACTTACATGCAGGCTAATTTTGGCAGCGTCCCTTTAAATAAACCAGTTTATTGCTCAATTACATGAAAAGTGTAAGATGATACTGCTGAGAACAAGGAAAAAGACTGAAGGAGGTGAGTTAGCTATTGCAAAAGCTGAGATCTTTCTCAGTAATCCACAACCGTCTTTTTTAAATTACGTAGTGCTCAGTGAAATGACTTTAAGAGAGCGCTGTTTAGCGTTAAGTAACAGTGTCTGGATTGGACTGAACTGTAGGCAGTTTACCAGTGGGAATGCTATTTGCAAGAGAATTAGGCATTTGATTTTTTAAAAAACAGTGAACATACTAGTCTTAAGGACCTGAAGTTCTGGAATATATACGTAAGGACTGTGGTGGTAAGGACTGTGGTGTCCTTCCCACAAGGACCTGCTGGACCCAGGTAAAGGTGGAGAGAAAGCTGTCTGCAAAATAGAAATAATTTTGCCTTTTGTCAATTGCTTATAAAAGGAGACAACTTTTATGTTCCTAGTGGAATGGCATTGTTTTATTTTAAATGGTATCTTTTTAAATAAAACAGTGCACTAAATTAATTTGAAAACTCTAAATGCTAGACAACTGATAGTGGATAAATACTCTTATTTCCTTAAGCTAAGCAATATGCAAATTGAAAATTTCATTTTTTAGAAGATGTGAGATAAAGGTTATTGTAAATAAATAGGGAGCTGTAGTCTCTTGGGCATTGAATAATGCAGAGGAAGAAGATATATTTTAGCACTTGCGTTTAAAGGCTTGCTGTACATGATGTTCATTTTCTCCTTTCGTCACATGAAATTATAGATCTGAAAATGAATGTGTTTTCAGAAAAGACAGTACAATGTCAACATCAGCAGGTACTTCATACCTATTTTGATAAATTAATGGTGGCAGCCATTCTGTAATTTTTAAATAGACCTCAAGCTTACAATGTATAACAAGAATTGGAGAACTCATTTATTTGAAAAGTAGGTGGACTCGTCAAGCTGAGACCATTATATTGAACAGTATGGTTACTAAGGCTGGGGGAAAGGATGGATGGTCCGTGGGGGACGAGATGTTTTTTGAAAATAGTAGGCAAATTTAAATTTGGGGGGCAGTTGCTCTGCAATCCTTGTAAGCTGTACAGAGTTCTAAGAGTCAAATTTGTTTGTCTAAAGCAAGCAATATATTCTTCGATGGATTGTGGAAGCATACGTTAGACATTTTCCTCATCAGAAAGAATGTGTCATGAACTTAGGAACAAACTAATCAATTAGAGATCGACAAATTGACAGAGATGAGGTACTTACGGGCAACTAGCACATACACTTACCTAAATAACCAAAAAGGTGTCGAACTCACTGGAAAATGTGCCACACAACAGATTTACTAACGTTAAGCTTTGTACGTAGATTTCAGGCATGTTCACTACAGAAAGAAAGGAGATTTGTTTCCTTTAAGAATATCCAAGAAAGGTGGCTAAAACATCCAGGCTCAGTCGTTAAGAGTGTAAGATAGTATTTCTGTATTGCCTTCTGAGGTTTTTGAAAGTTTATTTAATAAACATTTATTAGAAGTAAGTTTTAACCTAATTTTAGAAAGCAGAAACAGATTCATATGAAGAATCAGAAGCTGAGCTGAGGATAACCCCAAGCTTTCCCTCTAATCTGCTAGATTTTCTACTGTCTCTCTCAAAAGTGCTCACGTTCCAGATGGAATGCATGCAGGAGTAATATACTTAGCAGCAAATTGTAGGAAACCAAGGAATCTGGTGAGCAGATCTTACCTCTGTCATGCAAATGGTATCATCCATAACGGCACACAGAGTTGCTTGGATGTTGCTGGGTTTTTTGTGTTATTATGGAATGAACTACGTTCAATCTTCCTTCCTGCTAACTTGTTTCACATAATTAAAATAATATCTGTTTTCCCATGTGTTATGACACATATTTGCTCTCTTACTTTCAATTGTTTTAAGAGTTGCTTTTTGCCACAGATAGTGTTTTCAAAATTTCCTCTGTACCTATTGTTATCTGTCCAAGAGAGATTGAATATGCTTTGGGCATGGACCTTGGCTATTTTACATTACTCCAGAGCACTTTGCTCCCTTCCATGAGCAGTAAGTAATTATTAACGTTAGCAACTGTGCTTTTGAATGTACCTATACAATCAGTCTCCTCTTTTAGCTTCAGTGCTCTTCTGACTTTTTGAGATGCTTGTACAGTGTTTCCAAAATGTTAGAAAAGGTTAGAAAATCGCCTAAGTGTGGGTTTTTGATGCCTGTAGTTTTGCTGTTTAAGTTTACTTTAAACAAACGTGAACTTGAGGTCACCTCAACATCATCTACAGTAGCAGGTCTTATCACCTCATTATATGATACTTTACTATAGTCAGTAGATTTCTCAAGCAATAAAGGAACGATATCATATAATGACTGATTGCTGCTTATGCAATACCTGCTGCAATTGCTGCAAATACTATGTGACTGTGAGGCAAGCCTAATATATATCATCTTTGATTCAGTTGCTAATGACTTCTTTTTCTGTATTTTTTCTGGCTCTGTGCTCAAGTGATTAACTTTGAAGTATATCATATATACAAGCACAGTCCAAAAAGTAGGCAGTCTCCATAGATTAAAAGAAAATGACGGGAAAACAATAAAAAGCAATTAGCTCTGCACTTTAAAATTACAGAGGGGTTGTGAATAATTCTTATTCCTGAGGTAGATGAAAGGAGGGAGGAATGGAGGGTTATTGGTGTTTTGCAAGAGGGGTAGTTTATCTTTTTAGTTGGGACTAAACTGCACTGAAGCATTCTGGGGAACAGAGGTAAAACACAATACAACAGGAAGAAAGATAGGATATACAATGTTGAGAAGAGCAGGGGAATAGAATTAGGTTTCTATCAAAAAATCAAGAGAAGTTTACAGAAATAGAGAAAGGATTGTAAAATGGAGATGAACGGACTTTCACATACGAGTGTAGTGTTTGCAATATCTGCAGGTAATCAGCCTATTTTGTACCTACAGTCAGGCCATCTACAAAAGCCTGTTTCATCTGTTTAAAAAAAGTGAAGCTGTTCTTGTCATACTTTCTGATAGCCTTGTGTTTGAATCTGAACAGAAACCAACTCTGTAGGTTCAGTTCTGAAAAAATGAATTTAGTACATGCGTAATCCACTGTAGACTATTTACATTTTTTTCTTAACTTTTACGATAAAGATGTTTGCTGCTGCTATTTTTTTATGCTAGTTTTAATTTAGTGATGAAAAACAGGTTAACTGCCAGAGCATGAATATTTGAAACTCTTGTCTGAAATAGCTTGAGTAGGTTTCATATCCTTGTGTTATATTAATTGTGTTGTTTTTTTTTAAATCACAGCTCACTTTTTGACTACTGATGTGCAGCAACTCACTGTCCCCTTTCTACTCAGCTTAAATAAATAACTTACATGTGTTTGGAATGTTATTTATGTAAAATATTTCCCTTCTTCTCCTTTCTAATGTCAAAGGAAGCTTACAAATTTGCTTTTTGTTTGTTTTCAGCATTCAGTATGGCTTCTTCTCCAACTCTACTCATGCGAGTGGTGGCCTCTGCATATTCTGTTGCAGAAAAAGCTGCAAGAATTGTTAGAAATGTAATGGCTACCGGAGATCTGGGGATAGTGGAAAAGGTATTTGTTTTACTTTGTTCCAATTTCATTTCTCTTACTAATGCCGAGTTAGATGCAGGTCAAGGAGGTATTTTTGAAGATCAGACTGCTCTTATGCAAATAGAGATGGAAATAAAATCAATCCAAGATACTCAGCCTTACCTCTTTGATGTAAGGAATATTCCTTATTCAAGGATTAAAAGAGCACTAGAGAAATAATGTATTTTGACCCATATTTCTAAAGGATGTTCAGGCACCTAAAAGGAACACACCATAATTTTGTCTTGATTTCCTTCACAAAACACAGACTTTGGATAGCATGTCAGGATTCATAATAATTCCAAGGAATTTCCATACCTGCGTTCTAATATCTATAGTATAGCATTTAGTATTGCGTGCCTTAATCATTTTGGAATAAGATGAATCTGTGTTTTGTTTCTTAAAACAAAAAAGAGAACCTTAGGCTCTTCAACATTAATTTGGAACTTCATATTTAATTCTAAATATAAAATAGAAATGAAATTGCAACCATCTGCATTAAATTCTTAATTTACTGTAAGTTAGTATGCTGCACTGATGAGCCAGGTTCTTGGTTTTAACTACAATACTGGGATCGGTGGAATGAACTTGGAAGGTTAATTCAAGCTTTATAGGTATGTCACAATATTATGGACTGCCTTAACTATCTATATCATTTTCAGTATTTATTTTGAAGTGATTGCCGATATTTACATTTTTCAAAAAGTTAGTATGTTCAGCCATTTGTGCAAAGAAGCCTGATCCTCTATGACTTCTAGTGTCAGTTCAGCCAGTAGATGCAAAAAGAAAGTTTTCTTTTTATCCACTTGGTCAAGTATATTCACCACTGAGAAAACATGCAAATTTTGCTTTTTTTTCCTAGGCAATTAAGATTAGGTGTGGGGGGGGCAGAGAACTGTAAAAACCTGGAAGGTAATGATCCATGTTTTCAAAAGCATAGCAGGGTTTTCAAAAGTATGTAAATAGATCTGGCTCTCCCACTGAACCTGCTTTTAGGTTCTTGGAAAATCTTGTAAGATAGCTATATAGTATGCCTTAAAATACTTTTGTCTAGAGGCACAAAGGAAGCACTGTCTGAAGTTAGCCTGATTATCCAGTTAATTTTAAATACATAAGGAAGTTTTGTTAAACTTTGGAGTCCAGCAAGATTAAGGTAAACTTAACTAAAAAGGAAATGCTGGGTTTTATCAACTAATTCAGTTTCATTTTAAAAAAATGCAGCTGTGTTAATATTATTCCCAGTAAATCAGCGATTTACATCAGCTCATTACATTTTCTAATGTAATAAAACCAGCAAATGAGCACATCTTAAGCTCTATAATTGATCAGGTAAAATGAACAAGAGGAACAGGTGATACTGGTTATAAATAAGATGACTGCTTATATGAACTTTTCTTTATGAAGACAACAAACAATAAACATACAAAATCATATTGAAAACAATGATTTACAGGAAAGGTTCCTGTTTAGAGGAGCTACTGACCGCAGAGAATTCTTGCAAGTTTCTTGTAAAAGGTGGCTGGTGAAGAGAGTGAGCGAGAGAACTTGTATGTATATCTGTCTGCTCTACAGCCTGGAGAGGAGAGAGATGTGCAAGAACAGAAGTGCTGCCTGTCACCTTTTGCCTCCTTTCTGCACTCAGAAAACACCACTGAGACGAATTCCAGCAGGCATCACTGTAAAAGCTTTAGAAAAGATAGGAAGACCCAGAGTTCCACCTTTTCCCTTGCAACATTTGCCTCAATGATTTGTCTTGATCATTTGTCGTGAACAAAAATCATTTATCTAGATGAGCAAAAGTGGATCGGTTGGATTTTTTAGCTAGTCTCTCTCCCTGACTTTGAGTTTTCTTTCTCCCAGTCAACCCTAAGCTCTCCATTTCCTTTGCTTCTCCTTGTATCACTTTTACTTTTTTTTTTTTTTTGGTAGGTAGACTCCTTGTCCAGCTGTTCTTCCATCATTGATGACTGTTGTGAAGAACACGGCACATTGTTTTTATTAGCTTGGATTCCTGGAAACAAGGACACCAATAACTTGATCTTCCTAGGTCTGAACACAGTGCTGAGTTCAACCAAATTTATTAGGGACTGAGAGGGAAATGTCAAAGAAACAAAGTATCTTTAAGTTTCCTAAAAACAGGCAATCAGATAATGGCAGGACTAGGTTTTGAGCATGCAAAATTAACCTATAATCTTCCATCCCTATGGCTAATTTCTGTAGCTGAATAAAACAGCTTCCATGTTGTCACCAAATAAGATACAAGCAGATAAGTAAATTCTTTCTTGAACTCAGCTAAGACACAAATCATTGGATGAACCGGCTTTATTAATTCCTGTGCTCACAGCACTACTGTCTTACTGAGATTCTATCCCTGGATCATGCTAAAGGGCTCCTCCATTCATCAATTAATGAAGGTAAAGACTAGAAAGTATTATTGAATTACTTATTTCCTGTAGCAGGATACTGATATTTAAGAAGAAACCACCATAACCCCCCTAGCAATGTTTGTGGCTGCAGTACGTCTTTAGAAAGGCTTTCAGTCGTTGTTTCACGTCATCTTGAGATGGCAGAGCCATGGTTTTCTCTAGAGTATTTTTGCTGGGAAAAATGTGTAGGAGTTACTGCCCAATTTAATTTCTTGGGTTAGTTTTTGACATTTCTAATGTCCTCTCTGCTAGAATAAAGAGCCTGTTACTACTCAGTAGTTTATACATCATAATTGTTTCCGTTCCTTTTAACAAGCTAGATTAATTGGACTTTTAAATCTCTCATTGTGTCCCTGGCCTCACATATCTTTTGGGGCTTTTAACATTGCAATTTTTACATCTTTAACCTTGGGAACATGAGAACGTAATGTTTCCATGCCAGTTTCAAAATCTGTATATTAAGATAATATTGCCCCTCTTCGTTACTACTACCCTTTTCATAGAATCAAGGATCATCTCTCTTATCTAACCTTAACACAGCTTGTATAAAAAACACCTCTATATTTCTTCTCTTTCCTAATTTACCTTGTTTCTCCAGTGACCGTTCAAACTTTTTTTACCTTGTTAACATGTAATTTCTGTTTTTCCCTCTTGTATTATATCAGACTTTATACTTGCATTAATTTGTTCTGTATATAGCGTAGCATTTACACAAATAGACATGCAGTACAGTTACATCAGTTGTCGCAGATGAGTGAGGAGTGATGCACTTCACTCATAAGAGAGAAGCAGCAATAGGTTTTACTGAGGAAAGATAGTGATTTAACAAAAGTTCAATCATAAATAAGACAGTGATTTAACACGGGTCACTGGCAAGGTTGACTTGGTTATTTACTGCGTGGAGCACAGGGTCAGATGAAAGTGTCAAGGAGACCTTCTTGTTGAGTCATGAGGTTCAGAACGGACCCCCTTGCTTTCCAAACTCCTCTTCAGAGGAGTCTGATCTAATCTGGATCCAGTCTTTAGTCACAGACTTGGTCAAGGGTTTATGTCTAAAGGATTATGTGCGCAATCAATCAGAGATGTAACTTAGCAAAGTTTGCAAAGTTTTAGCATGCTATTAGTCTCTTCCAAGGATCTGTTGCGGGTAAGGCATCTCTCGACCTCGAGGAGTAACCTTGCGAGGCATCCCTACTCAAGGGGAGAGTCTGCCATGCAGCCCACTGGTGTGCAGGAGAGCTCAACAGACTCTGGGCTGCCTCCTATTTATGGGGTAAGATGGTTGACTCATAGTCATATTTGCATACCAACCGTATTTGGGTGGGCACATGCTTAATTAGACTGTGGCTATGTGCTGTTTACGGAGAGGTCAGGTTGGGCAGGGGAGAGCACCTCAGCGGGGGGAAAGAGCACACCATCACAATCTGTTTATCAGAGAGACACAGCATGTACAGCATTGAGGTGAGTGTCCTTAAGATACCAGTGTATCTTAGCTCTGAGGTGAACAAGGAGATAAGGTCTGCCTCATTGACTTTTTCAGTCTTTAGCCTGCCTCTCTTCAGACTATTTTTTAGGCTGATAATTTGTCAAATTAGACTTCTTTTTGATTGCAAGGTAGGTATTCAGAGTCATAAAGGCCGTTGTACTGTTTTGTTTGTTTGTTTTAATAAACAGATTCCTATCTATCCTTTGACAGTGTGGAGCCAATGACTTACAGACCAAAGCTGATCGACTGGTACAAATGAGCATTTGTGCTTCACTGGCACGGAAGTTCCCCAAAGTGACAATCATAGGAGAAGAGGTAAGGACCTAACTCATTTCACACTAACAACATAACTTGCATTGCAATTTGCATTGGCAGGTTTAGGAAAAAGTTTATTTCCATCCCAGTCATCTTTCTATTGCACTGACTTTGTCAAGTGAGCTGCAAGCAAATCCTAAGGCAAATTGAGATGGAGCCCAGTACCTTCTACTAATAATTTTGAGTATCTTTTTGTTAGGAACTGCCCCCTCATGATGTAAGTGAGGAATTGATTGAAGATGGCCATTGTGAAGAAATACTAAAGAAAACTTGTCCTCCTCAGTATGCAGGAATTAAAGAGGAAGAGGTAATGTTACACATATGGCTGCATGTTTTACCGTCATCTATCGATATTACTGATTTTAACTAAGAAATTATTAAGGAAAAAAATAAGTTATTTCAGTGTTGTCAGTTTCTCTTTTTGCCTTGAATGCTGAAAGGTACTCATGAGACTCACAGCTCAAAAGATGGAAATGCTGCATATCCTTGTGTACCCTTACAGGAAATGGAAATCTGCTTCCTTACACTTTGTGATTCAAGTTTATTTGGAATGAACCAACTTTGGACTTGAGAAAGTAATGTCACTTCCATGTTTAATTTCAGTCTTGATATCTCTGTTAAGCTATTTGCTGACAAGTTCCACTCAGTGTGTGTCTTTTTCTTTAGTGTAAAATATTAATGTAGACTTCAGTCTTGTATATCATAATGCTAAGAAGTTAGAATGTCTGTTTAATATCATCGCTATTGTAAAGTTCCCCTCCCTACGAGCATTAAAAAAGTACATATTTTGCATGTTAATTAATATGATTTGTATTTGTTCATGTTGTTCCTTTTTTTTTTTTTTTTTTAAGCTTGTTGTCTGGGTTGATCCTCTGGATGGGACCAAAGAGTACACTGAAGGTTGGCTTCTCTTTCAATTCTGATTAATAAAGTAGCGCATACATGCACATGGCTTTGCAGATGATAGAAGTTGAAGACATTGTTTTCTATAAGCTGATGTTGCTTGTATATTTTAAGTTCTATGGAATTTTTTAATCACTTATTTTGCTTCCTGCCAGTACTGAATACCCCTGATGGGCTGCTGAGTGCCCACGAGTTTTGTCGTTTCAGGGAACTGAGGGCCCTCAACACTTTCTACAGGAGAAACCTTTGCTGCCTTTGATTGCTAGTGGGATGTCTTAAAAAAATTTTAGCAAAATACACTTACTATTTTGCACATACTCTTTATTGTGGAACTAAATCTCCTGTTTGTATGGGAATACGCTCAATTATATTTACATTCCTGTCTCAGACTATCTAAATGTTATAGCTGTATTTGTAGTCCTTTTAAAATAGAACAAAAACTTCCCCTAAAATCATAATTTTTTGGTCATGGAAGGAAACTGTTTTCAGCAAGGCCTAATTTGTGTCCATAGGATAGATCCTAATATGCAGAAAAAATCAACATGTCAAAAACTTTCTTCAGCCTCTTGTTGAATCTTTTAGTCGATTAACATCGTTTCTTTGCATCAGATTTCCCTCCCATCCTCCTCCTCACCCCAGGAAAGAAAGGTTGTCCAACTGCTATTGAATTACTTGGTTTTGAGTACTACTAAAGAATTCGGGTCCCAAATTTAGAAGAATGTCACCCATATACTACTAGGTAGTTGTATCTTTGAATTTCATTCTCATTATGTATTAATTACAATGTAATTTGAATTTTCCTAATATGAATTATCCAGGGCATTTTTTTTTTTTTGCACAGAAAAAAAGGCATGTTAAGGAACTTATTACATCTGAAAATTCTGATTAGTATTTGCATTTTAAGACCTTTCATGTTGCATATGCACCTTCCATATTGGTTTGTGGACTTTTATTGAACGCTTAAATGTTCAGGAGTTTTTTGAATACCTTTAGTTTCTCTTTTTCAAGCCTAACTACATTTTTATTGTTTCTGTACAGGTCTCCTTGACCACGTAACAGTTCTTATTGGAATTGCTTATGGAGGCAAAGCAATAGCAGGAGTTATTAACCAGCCGTATTACAACTATGAGGTATTAAATGCATCGATCTGCTTGAGAGCATTAGGTGATTTGTAACTGTCACTTCTAAGACGCTTCCAGTTAGCACACGTTCAGCTAAAAAGCAGTGTGTATTGGAGTTAATGTTGTAATGTAAGGGTAGGTTTTTCTATATACAGTTTTGATTATTGGTTTGCAAGAACTGAATGTCAAGGACCTATTAACAGTCATAGTGAGTTTCAAGGCTTGTGTAATGAATTCTACAGTACGTGTAAAGCAGTGTCGTATTCTGAAACACTTGCAGATCAGTGCTTTTGCACTCTAGGATAAGAGATTCTAAGCCCACGCGGAAGGTGCACTTATGATATATGGTAACTCGCATTAATCTCCCACTCTAAAGAAACCAAGTGCACCTGTTGGTGGCAGCTGGGTTAGAGTGTATCAGGCCAGGCCTCAGACATCACCTTCATCTCAGGGTGGATTTGCATCACCCTTCAGGCATATAGACAGGTGAGGAGATTATTTCAGTATTATTTGTGAGGCAAAAAAAAAGAACGTCCAAGGACATGAGGAAATAAGACTTCCTGTAATTTAAAGAGAAAGCTCTTGAGCTGACGTGAGTCACATCATCACTGACGCTACATGTTCCATGTGGTGTATATGATGAAATATACAGAAATGACAATGAAGGTATCTTCAGTTACAAATTGTGCCTGAAGTAGAGCATTATACTAACATTAATTTGTCACACTCATTGGAGGCAGGCAGTAATGCATCACTACAGTTTCACAGATGAAAAAACAGTGAATGATCTACTACTGAAGGTTTTACAAGTCATTATCTTAGAGGGAAAGAGCTGAGGTGTCCTAGCTTCTCACTCTGGGCTGTACAATGTTTCTTTTTAAGTGACACTATTTAAATGTATATCTCAGTATTAATATTATACTCCCTAGGATGCAAAGATGTCTCCAGCTATTCCTTTACATTCCTGTTTTAAACTAAACACTGACCCCCTGCCTGTGCTCCTTCTGCATAGGCAGGAGCTGATGCTGTACTCGGTAGGACAATCTGGGGAGTCTTGGGCATAGGTGCCTTTGGATTTGAGCTCACAGAAGCACCTGCTGGGAAACACATCATTGTTACCACCCGTTCTCACAGCAGCACCCTGGTAAATGACTGCATTAGTGCCTTGAACCCAGACAGTGTCATCAGAGTTGGAGGAGCAGGAAACAAGGTATGCAAACTCCAAATCTTCTATTGGTTGGAGGCAGTTGGAGGCACTCTTTGGAAAAAGAGTGAAGAATTTTGAAAGAAATCCTTTTGTTTACTTACATGAATGTGCAGGGGTCGTCTTCCTCCTTCTCTAGCCCAACTTCTCTTCCTAGCACTCCATTTGTTGTAAGGTAGAGTTAAGAATTTGGTACTTATCTAAGAATGGCCCTCCTGGTTTTGCTCCAACCATCTAGCAGCAGATATCAAAAGATAAAAACAGAACCAGCCCACAGTGGTATTTCTTTTGCAAACCTTCTCAGTATCCAGGGAATACTCATTTCCTGCATGCTTAGTTTTATCATGCTTCCACACCTAGGAAAAAGGGAGCCTTCACACCCTTTTCCCCAACATGCGCAAGGGCTATAAGCTCTCCAATACAGCATGGAGATAGTTTCCACTTTACTTTCTCAGTACTTGCACAAGACGAGAAATCTTGTCTTTGAAGCGAAGAGAAGATTCTCATCCTATAGACTATATTTACAACAACCTAAAATAGATCATAGCTTTCTAAATCTTGGTAAGAATTTTTGGAATAATCTGAAAGGGGGTGGTTGATGCTCCTTTTCTAACCATACGGGTATAGAGTAAGCTGATTTAATCCCTGTTCTTGCTTCTTTCCCCCCCCTTCTGAATGCCTACGTCCTTTGCAATGATTACTACTCTCTACTCGTAACAGATCATCCAGCTTATAGAAGGCAAGGCATCTGCTTATGTATTTGCCAGTCCTGGGTGCAAGAAATGGGATACATGTGCACCTGAAGCTATTTTACATGCTGTGGGAGGTAAGTTAATAATATTCACAGGTATTTCTGAGATAAGTGAAACTGCAACAATTTTAAGTTCTTAATACTTTTCATAGAAAAAAATAATTTCTTAATATGTCTTTGGAAGGACATTTGATTTTTTTTTTTTTTAAATAGTCATGATATACTAGGGGCCTCAAGCCCTTTGAAATCAACAGTAACTCCAGAGGGACAGCAAATTAGGCTTTGGAAAGCACTGTATTTTGTCCTGGAGTAATATCGTCAGTAACTGTCAAATAATGAAAAAAGGCCAAATTCCAAACTTCTGAGTATATTGATATTTTCAAACTAATGGCTTCTTTTTCTGCTGGCTACTATTTTACAATAAAATCACATTGTCCTACTAACTGGATGTAGTAGTTCATTATTAATAACATATTACTGTGTAATATGTGGGCACTGTATCCTTCAAAGCAAAAACAGGCCAAATCATGCCGTCGTTGCTCAGATGTATAAACCCCCAAATTGAGTCATTTGTGTAATTGAGTAAAATGAGCGGTTTCCAGACAGAATAAACCGCTTTGTTTTTCTGGGGATTAAGGGGCTAGAAAAGTTATGAGAAGCCTGATTAACAACAATTAGATAATTATCATACTTCTGCTGTTCATGTTGACAGACCTTTTACAAGACGTAAGATGAAATTGTATTAATATCACCTGAATTCTGTCACGCAAACATAATGGGCTTGGTATGATTTATCTGTCTCTTCTGCAGTCTACAGTATAATGTTGATAACTGGGATAGCTTTAAACAGGTTAGCTCAGGCACAAAAAACAACCAATCTGGGGCAGCACAGTGCTTTATTTAGCCTCTTCGTTATGTAGGCATCTCTTGGTTAAATTAGCTTGCATGAAGATTTGTGTTGCTCTCTTGTTACAAAGGTGATTTCTAGAAACTCATTTAAAATCAGCTGTGGTGTTTCTGCATCATAGTGGCCTTTACTTGAACTGCAGTCTGTGCTTTCCTTTCCTTCCTGTCAATTGCCAATGTATAAAATTCACAGGAAGCATTTTAAGTAATCCAGAAGAGATGCATATTGTTTTTCTAAAACATGAGGAATTTAAGTATTGCTTAAGGAAAAGAAAACCATCAGTTGTTTGATTTCAGCCAAGAAAAGGCTGTTGTGCTTAAAAAGGGAGCAAAGATATTATTTCACACCTGAAGACAGCTGCCTGTACCCAACCCAAAGCCTATCTCTGTTTTTACTTATATCACTTGTACTGGTAGCTTATCTCTCTCCAAATCGTGTTTGCTGGAATACAGCTTTTTCTATTTTGCAGGCAAGATAACTGATATCCATGGAAATTCATTTCATTATAACAAGGAAGTGAAACACATGAACTCAGCTGGGGTTCTTGCCGCTTTGAGGAACTATGATTATTATGCAAGTTGTATTCCCAACACTGTTAAACAATCTCTCGTGCCTTAAAGCGGGAGAGGATGTTAACTTGTCCTGGAAAGCTGATAAAGCAAGCTTGGAGGAAAAAGAAGAAAGAAGATACTGAGCTTGAAACTTTGAGCCTAATTCTTACATTAGGCTTTTCAATAATTTCAAAATTACATACAGGCTATCCAGGTATATTGTTGGATCAATTTGTTTAGTTGTGTTTCGCAGACACATTGTAATGGTGATGTTTTTCTTCTGTAGCTGTTTTCCATTTTTTTTGGAAGCAGCATATCATTCTTCATGTGATACGACTGTGCTGAATCCATAGCTAATCATAATGCTACCATCCAAAAATCATCTTAATATTCAGGGCACAAAATCATGTTAAGTCATTTACCCTACTTTGTGCAATTGTTGTTGTTGTTGTAGGTAGTCAACAAGGGTTGTGTTACATACCAATGGACTGAGAATTTATCTTAATAGTGTAGCCCTTTATAATAAACTTGATAGGTTTAATTCTTAGAAGTGAAATGTGTTCTTTTATAAGCAGGGATATGTTTGAGGAGGGAATGGAGTTGGTTTGGTTGTGGTTATTTGGCTTCCCTTAACAAGAAGGGCTTCCACAAACAATACTGAGGCAGTTTATTTCCTGCAGGACTTTTATCATACATATGTAAAATGAGCGGTTTCCAGCCGATTAAATTTAGTATTTAATCATTTGCAAGGATTCTATGGCCTTTTTTTAGAGCTACAAAAACTAAAGTAAGTCTTAGTTAGCTAGGGGTTTATGTGTTTTGAAACAGTTCAGCTGAATACTTAAAAGCTATTTTTGTAGCATAAAGAATTAATTGAACTCAACCAATCAATATCAACCTTTTCATCAGATTCTCATGATGGTATATTTTATTTTACTTACTGAATCTTTTAAACCTCTTGTTTGCATTTATTGTATGCTCTCCTTTTTAGGAAGGCTGTATCTTTGAGCCAGGTTCAAGATACTTATGCAACAAGTTCAAGTTGTGTACGAGAATAGAGACGTTGTCTTTTCAGTCTAGTGGTAGGAATCACACTAGCATAAAGAAACTTAAGTACATGAGGCCTTGTGTGCAGACAACACAGCTTGAACTAATCCAGTTATTGCGGTGATTTCTTTGAAACAATCAATACTGAAACAATGTCCTTTTTTTTTTTTTTCCCATTTCTGATTGGGTATCTGACAGAAAGGCTGTTGGATTTTCTTAATGTTTTCCTTAAGTACTTTATTTGCATTAATTGTACTTAACAAACAGAGAGCTAGGTCATACCTTCTGCTTCTAGGAAGAAATGGAGGCACAAAGAAAGGCTGTTTACCAAATTCTGCAGTCCTGTCTCCATACAGCTGTCCCTAACTAGAAGTCTTAAACGGTCCTAAACAATTAAAAACACTAGCCTAAGCAAAACAAAGGGCAATCATTTATTAGAGTGTTATCATCCAACTACCTCTCAAGTAAAGACAAAAGACTGAACTTAACCAGAACAAAAGAAGGCACTTCCCTTTGGAGATTACAGCCTTTGTCAACTGGCCGTATGCAACCTGAATTGCCAGATTACCAACTGAATCTTTCCTATGTTACTTTGAAGGCAGAAAAGAGGAATGCCACTTCCATCAATTAATGCCTATTTCCTGCAGGGATGAAAAAAGAGTATCCATCCATCATGTTTCCCAGTGCTTTCCAAAGAGCACCTGGAATGAGTTGCTGATTTTTCGCACTGTGAGTGTGGAAATTGTGTGGCATTTCTTATGCCCTGACCTCTGCTGGGTTTTATGTGGTTGTGTAAATAGGGCAGACTCCTGAGGCACCTCGGTGTTGCTCAGGCAGAAGGACCCCTCTGTTCAAGTCAACCTGAGGACAACTGGTTTTGGCTTTCTGAGGGGGATTCCTTTATTTAGGGAGCTTGTGATACCTCAGTTTGAAAGTCCAAAAGAAGACGTAGTAGGGAGAGGCCCAGGAAACCTAAGCTTGGGAGTCTGCTGCTCCAAGGAACAAATCAGGTGCTATATGAAGAATGATAGTTTTTTGACTCACATGGAGAAGAAATAGAGAAGAGGAATTTAAAAAGATCATGATCAATTGTCTAAAACCAGCAACCTGCTAAGCCCCCCTTGCTTGTACCAAAGAGGTACCTTTCTGTTCAAAATAGTTTAGCACCCTACAATATCTCAGTTTGGAGGGGCAAGCAGTGCTTCAGATTGTGGGACCAGGGAAGCTTCACTATGATCTTTGAATCTGTGGATCTGTGCTCAGTTTTGGGACGGCTCCAATATCTCCATGTGTGGTGACCTGCATTGTCTGAGTTTAAAAGGGCCCAAGTCCAGCTAGGCCTCTGACAGCTCAGTGGGGGGTTCCTATGATGCTCTCGAAGTGAGTATCAGAAAAGCCTTAACACAGCAGGGTCCAGGACACCTCAGTTAGGGAGAACCCAAGGAACCTGCAACTGAGAGGAGGCCTCAGCACCTGATGACATTAAATGCCTGTGTTTGGAAGAATCTCTCTAACCTCAGTCTTTGAGAGCTTGGGGCATGTGAGCTGGAGATCCTAGGCCGTTTTCCCTTGCACAGGGACAAGAGAAATTGGAAACATTTTCAGTCCAAATTTTAAGAAAGCAACAGTTTCCAGGTGCCTTTCCAAGAGCCCTATGAGTTGGAGAACCTGACAACACCGCTTTCCTCTCCTGTGGAACAGAGGTATTTTAGGGGGAGTGGAGAGAGCAGAGAACACAAGACCACATTAAATGAACTTAAAAAATGGGAGGCCTGTTTCAGTCAGCCTTCCTATAGAGCAGGGAAACTGGGGATGCAACCAGTCAGTCCACTTGAGGAACAGAGGAGCCAAAATTGGCAACCTTAGCCAGCACAGATGATGTCAAGTCTCCTCAAGATGAATTTGAGGACTCTGGAGTATCTTGACTCAATGGAGACCTAGGTACCTTAGGTACCTTAATTGAGGTACCCTAGTTTTCTCCAAATTTAGTGACCCAAGTCCCTCATCCTCAAACTAAAGATCTTGTCTTGCCCCCTCCCCCCACCTCCTTTCCCTCATAACATGACACATACTGAGAAATTCCACTAGAGACTGCAAGTTTGAACAGACTATGCATAATTTTGCTTTTCCTCATCTCTGTTCTCTGTGTGGATAGAAAAGTGGAACCTGTCAGATTCCCGGGTGTGTGTGTTAGGGAAGGGGCCTGAACTTGGCTGCTTACTTAAAGTCTGGATACTTAAGTTCTCCCAGTATGACTTCCCAGTATGCCAAAGCAGTCTGCAAGTTGCACCGAACCCAAGTTCTCACTTCCTCCCTGCCTGCAAAATGAAGCCCTCCAAATCCCCATAGATTTGGCACTCTTGGTCCACTCAAAACTGTCTTTAAGTTAACACTGAACTTCAGTTTTCCATACAGGTGAAAATTTCAAAATTCAATTTTCAACAAAATGTGTCTTGAAAGTAGAAAGAAATGGGTATGGCTTGGACACAGGTTTAACACCTCTAATTTACTTGTCTAAACTAAGCATAAAGTTGTTGGATCTCATCCTTTCCTCACATTAGGGTAACCCCAGCATGACTTCACTGGAGTGCTTCCAGGCTTGTCCTGAGCGAATTTTAGCTGTTCTTAATGCTAGCATATACACTGGCTATATTTCCAGCAAGCAGGAACATCCTGACAGGAGAGGATACGAACAAGACAAATCCTGATCAAGTGTTCCCAGTCTCTCCATCTGCAGGCACAGAGCAGGATCTCGGAAAGCTTTCCTTAGTGAGGACAACTTACCCTCATAACATCTACAGATAAATTAGCAAGTTTATCACTTCATTCTATCATCATCCAGCCTTTGCCTGTCCATAATGCTATCGTTAGACTGGATTAAAGCTGTATATATAGGAACGACATGTGTTTTTAATCCTTTCATCTATAGCCTTTCTTCTCTTTCCTCAAATATATGGCTAGCAAGAACTTGCAAGGTAGATCCAGCCTGCTTTAATTACAGCCTTCAGATTTTGGTTCATTGTAAATGTAATCATTCCAAATATTGATTCCATGGCTGAAGTTTGAAAAACCTAACAAGTACAGTTTAAATTCATTTTCACTGACTCACTTATACATAATTCCACCCATCCTCTCCACAATTCTCGGATATGTATGCTCCAGCATTCAGACCAAAATCTATATGTGGATTTGCCAAGTGCGTTAATAGCACTGATGCAGATGTAGAACGACTTAAAAGACAACACAAAAACTGCCTTAATAAGTCTTTTCACGTAACATTAAAACACAAAATAGAACACCTGCTGTTAATAATGTTCATCTATGTCTCGATATCCTTTGCTTCATCTAGAACCTGATATCTGTTGTGAATTTCTCCAGCATATGCCACTTTCTAATTGTGCTGTAATTTCACTTACCTCTGCTCATTTACAATTTTCTCACTGCAATTAGAATGCACATGGCATACACTCGCTTCTACCCTGTGTGCAAAGCAGCGAACGTATGGAATTTCTTTCCACACTCACGGAAATTAAGAATTGCTAATACAGAAAAATATTAGGGAAACTCGAAATGCAGTTCAGTAGCAGGAAATGGAGAGAAGCCAGCACGCCATCAGCAGTCACGCTCTGGCTAGACCGCTACCCCTGCTGCACAGAACAGCGCTGGTCCACCAATCAAGCGTTTGAGGATTTCTCTGCTAGCGAATTAGGTGCTATAGTATGAGCTATAAAGAGCACAATGACACTGCATTGTCCTTGCAACAATGTGAACTTGAGTCTGTCTCCTGTGAAAACTGCTAACACAGTATTTCTGCAATTCATTCCAAGGATAGCGTGACCTCCTGCAAAATGTGCGTGTTTGTGAGGAATATGTTTTAAAAAGCAAGAGAACAGATATAAGACATACAGGTTTAACTAGTGAATGCACAAGTCTCAGCACGTGTTGCTCTCTTCGACTTGTTCACACCATTACATAAAGAAAGGTGGCTGCAGCAACCTCTCCTGCTGTTGTCAGGCACCTGCTTCACCGGTTTTACAGTCACATCCAGCGAAGCTCTAGAGAGCTCTCTGCCTGATCGCCAGCCCCGCCGCAAGGGGACACACGCTGACACCCACCAACCCTGCGGCTGCGGGGGCCAGGCCCCCTCACCAGGGC